GATGAAGTAAAGATCTCCCGTTCTTTGAAAAATAAACCAATTAGCGGGAAATTTAAGGCGCCTTGAATACAAAGGAGAAAAGAATTTGCTGTGTGCTTGGCTAAGTTCGTTATCTCTTTCTTTCCTTAGAGCAAGGACTTTTAATATGTCATGCGCAGTTGTGTACGTTTGAGCTTTATAGCTCAAGAGCGTATATATATAATTCAACATTAGAAAAAAATAACAAATGAGAAAGTTTTTAAATATTCGTTTTCATGCGGCTCTATGCATTAAAGACTAACGTAAAAGGTGTACACCGTTCTTCAAATAGAGTATATATACTGACTTTATGTCTCTAGTATACCTTTGATACATCCTTTATTTAAGGTCATTATGTTAATAGAGTAAGTATCCACTCGTATTAACTGTAACAAACTGGTCATTAATTTGATGGTACTGACTAGCAACGTGCATCTCATATTAATATGAGAAAGTGTGTTATGCTAACGCAGTCTACCAACATGTGAAAGTGTGTCTAACAGTAACCCTATATACTAATGTGAGAAAATTTGTTGTGCTAATGCAATCTACCAACATGGGAAAGTGTGTCTAACAGTAACCCTATATACTAATGTGAGAAAATTTGTTGTGCTAATGCAATCTACCAACATGGGAAAGTGTGTCTAACAGTAACCATATATACTAATGTGAGAAAGTGTGTTGTGCTAATGCAGTCTACTAACATGGGAAAGTGTGTCTAACGGTAACCTTATATATTAATGTGAGAAAGTGTTTTGTGCTAACGCAGTCTACCAACATGGGAAAGTGTGTCTAACAGTAACCCTTATATATTAATGTGAGAAAGTGTGTTGTACTAACGCAGTCTACCAACATGGGAAAGTGTGTCTAACAGTAACCATATATACTAATGTGAGGAAGTTTGTTGTGCTAACACAGTCTACCAACATGGGAAAGTGTGTCTAACAGTAACCCTATATATTAATGTGAGAAAGTGTGCTGTGCTAACGCAGTATACCAACATGGGAAAGTGTGTCTAACAGTAACCCTGTATACTTGTTTGAGAAAGTTTGTTGTGCTAACAGTCTACCAACATGTGTCTAACAGTAACCCTGTATACTAATATGATAAAATGTATTGTGGAAACATTAATATAGTATACTGAATATAAAAAATGTATAGAACTAACAGTGACAAGTCTGGCTAAACGTACATGAATTTCAAACGTTACATCTTACTACAAATCGAAGTAAGCAAATCATTATTAGATATGCTTTTGTTTCTTTTGTTTTCCTTGTTGTAAACACAATTTCTTGGTAAAACATTTAAACTGGGATTTTGGTGATCTTATTAAGATTGATGTCGTTCATTTTTCCATATTAACACATCCACAGAACGTTCTCTTCTTATAATAGGCTAAGATTACACAATGTAAAGTTTTTAGACAACATGATTGGGTAACAGAGTTCGAATCGGTGAGGAAACGTAATTTTAGTCCTTGTTCTTCACTCATGACTAAATTGTGGATATTGATTAGGGTTAGGCTTTACTAAATCAAAGATGAACGTAAAATGAAAGAAAGAAAGAAAAGTTGTTGTTTGAAAACTTCATTAGACGTGTATCAAAGAAAATTCCCACAAATAAGAAATGTTTTGTTGGAAATGAAAAAGAAAAGCACTTTTTTAAATTACTTAGTCTTTGTGTGTATGTTTTGTGTATGTATCTATGTAGATTTCGTTATGTATTGATAGAAGCTATTTGTATGTTGTAGCTATAATCACACGACAACACATGTTTATATAATTCGTTGCGGTTATGGATAGATTGGCTGCAACTTCTTTAGATATAATACACTGTGATAATGGATAGACTACAATATCTTTTAAACATCATGCGTTGTGTAGAACAGTAGATACAACATGGAGGTATGTTTATATAACTTATAGACATTAAATACATAGATGTGTTTACAGTATTGAAAATAATTATGGAAATAAGGAATAAAGTTGGTGAAAATCCAAATATTATGGATTTGCTCTCCTTGGTTGTATGAAAATCAACTTCACCTGAGCACAATCATGTTGTGATAGTTTACACTGTAACTTCACCTGAGTACAATCATGTTGTGATAGCTTATACTGTAACTTCACCTGAGTACAGTCATGTTGTGAGAGCTTATACTGTAACTTCACCTGAGTACTATCATGTTGTGATAGCTTATACTGTAACTTCACCTGAGTACAATCATGCTGTGATAGCTTATACTGTAACTTCACCTGAGTACAATCATGTTGTGATAGTTTATACTGTAACTTCACCTGAGTACAATCATGTTGTGATAGCTTATACTGTAACTTCACCTGAGTACAATCATGTTGTGATAGCTTATACTGTAACTTCACCTGAGTACAATCATGCTGTGATAGTTTACACTGTAACTTCACCTGAGTACAATCATGTTGTGATAGTTTATACTGTAACTTCACCTGAGTACAATCATGTTGTGATAGCTTATACTGTAACTTCACCTGAGTACAATCATGTTATGATAGTTTATGCTGTAACTTCCCCCTGAGTACAATCATGTTGTAATAAAGACTTCTCCATGCGGCATACAGAGACAAATTTCATTTTTCACAAGGAAATGTACGGAAACATTGGAGATGGTACGTTAAACTAGTCCTATTGATAATATATGTCATGTAATTAGAAAACCACAGCTCTTCCAAAGTAATGCTAAGTAGCTCCAAGTATTCTCTTTACTTCACATACGTCAGTCCAGTAGAGATTATATGGCCTAGCTGTAAGTAAAGGTGGGAATGTTTCCTCCATAACAGTATGATGCACATTAGCCTGAAATGGCCTCAGTGGATGTGTAGCTGATTAAAGTGAAATCAGACTTCAAACAATGGGATGAGTAAAACTGGAGGTGAGTGATTTCTAGAGATTAATCCAAATTTAAATTATATGCTAACAATCAATGATAGCTTGATCAATGGCGGAGAAGAGAACAATAACCACGATCAAGTGAGGGCTGCATCTGAGCCAATGAGGTTTACACAAAACTGATGGCACCCTGACAGACATGAGCAAATACTTATTTATCATGTCATTTCCTCAGGATAAATATCTCTAGTGTGGGGATTCATCTTCCTAAGCATACAGTAAATGTTGAAAGTGGTGAATGTTAGTTTTTCTTATAGCAAAGTCATAACGGGCTATCTGCTGTGTCCATCGAACCCCTGATTTTAGTGTTGTAACTCCGTAGACTTACAACTGTCCCAGCGGGGGACTGAAAGTGGTGAAATAATACCTGAATGTATAATGATAACCAGACCGATGGAACAATAACAACCGTGGCTTGGTCTGCACAAAGTCGGATATAAATATTATGTAGGTTGTATATGATTGTATGTAAACTGGGAAGGTGAAGCGACAATAAACAACTTATTTGAATTGTGGAGAGTAATACAGGGTGTTAGAAACAATATATCATAATCATGCAGTTGGTCAACTTATGATACGCAAAAAACAAGTTGTGCTGCTCTGTTTATAGTGGGTACAAACAATTAGCACATTGTACAATGTCGTCGCTTTTATTTTGTATTTTCTGTAACGGTGTGTTGCACTAAAGATAAATTGACCATTTATCTGTAGTTACGCAGTGTTTATGACTCCTGCTCCACAGTGGAACAGCGGTAAGTTTCGATAGCCGTGGTGGGCATAGCACAGATAGCCCATTGTGTAGCTTTGTGTTTAACTACAAACAGACAAACAGTATACTGTATCATCTGCGTCTTTCCTTATTTATTGCCCCCCTCAATGGTACAGCGGTATGTCTGCGGACATACAACGCTAGCAACCGGGTTTCGATACCCGTGGTGGGAAGAGTACAGATAGCCCATTGTGTAGATTTGTGCTTAATTCCAAACAAACAAACAAACTTTAATCATTTCTATATTGTATGGCATGTTCTAAGATATTTTTTTTTTAAATGACTACAATTTAATGTATAATTTCTATTTCTTATTGTTGTTTGTTTAGAATACCACCCGACACACTGGAAAGACGTATCTAAGCCTATTTTGACAGCCAAAACGAGCCCTTAATAGAATTATAGCGCAATTTGTAATTTCCACCACATGGCTAAGTTTCATTAGGATATTATTTACAGAAAGACGTATCTAAGCCTATTTTGACAGCCAAAACGAGCCCTTAATAGAATTATAGCGCAATTTGTAATTTCCACCACATGGCTAAGTTTCATTAGGATATTATTTACAGAAATACTTAAAGGTCAGCGAGTTACTAATGATGACAAGCCTTAATGACAAGAACTAATGTTTCAGATGAAAATCATTGTTCATCAAAAAACTGTGACCAGAATTATGGGATTTATAAACAGAACATACATGTATATGTCTGAAGTAATAAGATTGCTTTCGTTTGTCCATGTATAGAGACATGTTTTAGAATCAAGACTTTGTGCTTGTGTTTGTTAGAGAGAACACTTGTGTTAAAGACACATGTGAATTAAGAGATTCTGTGTTTGTGTGTGTTAGAAAGAGTACTTGTGTTAATAGACGCGTGTGAATTAAAAGATTCTGTGTGTTAGAGAGAGCACTTGCGTTAAAGACGCGTGTGAATTAAAAAATTCTGTGTGTTAGAGAGAGCACTTGTGTTAAAGACGCGTGTGAATTAAGAGATTCTGAGTTTGTGTATGTCAGAGAGAACACTTGTGTGTGTGTGTGTATGTGTGTACCTGTTTGTACATGCGTTGGAGACATATTTGAATCATATTTTCTATGTACCCAATAATATAACGCGATTTATAAAAATAAAGACTAATTGTTCAGGTTATGCGACCTTAGAAACAGCATAATTTATAATAACGAAGCTAATCATTGCATGTTTTCGTCACGTCTGATTAGAGAAAAATATATCATATAACGTTTCTAAAAAAAAAAGTACAAAATCAAAATAGGATGAAAAAGTCTCCAAACCTATTGTCTTCTTCATTTCAAAATCTTTGAAACGATAATCTCTGTCTCCATTGGTTTCCGTAATCACTTTCATTTTAAACGCCGCAGTTATTTGAGCTATTCGTTCCCAAACAGAAGGTTTACTTGTCATATAAAATCAGTTTTGTTTTTCTTTACCAGTTACTTGCTTCAATAGGTTTCAGCGAGCTCATCTCGAACAGTTATGTCTTATTTAAATCACGTAAAACACTGGAAGGTTAATGTCTCACACAATCCTCCAAAAAATGAAACAGAAAGCAGTAGAACCTCTGGCAGAACAAATGTTCTTTCGACTATGTATATATACTTCAACTCTGAAACATAAGAAAGCGTGAAGTGTGGTGTTATTCAATGCAAGTTGGAACGTGCACTACATGCGGTTTTCATTTTGTGCGCGAATGAAAAACTTGAAAGAGGAATTCTTACCCAACCGGCATATTACTGAAATATAACTAAGGTAATTACGGCAGTGGTCTTCATGGACCAGTGTCTTTACGTTACATGACAGATGCAGCGGAGCCACTTGCAACTGGCTGAACTTCGACGGTGACGCCATCTTGTGTCAATCTCCACATTATGTTCGTCCGTAGTATTTTCCACGAGTGGCAGAACGTAAGTAGAAAACGTGATTAGTGCGTGGGTGCGCTAACTATAGCAGCTTAACTAGCCTAATTTGTTGAAAGCCTGTCATGTATTTTTGGACGTAGAAACTGAGCCAAATAAAAATAAATAGGTCGCAGCAAACCCACTTATACATGCTTTAACAGAAGCCCATCTGTATAGAAGTCTTATAAACAGAAAATATTACCGTGCATCGCAAAGTCTTATGCAACGTGTTATTACAGGTCCTATAATGCGATCCCTAATTTTCTACAAAAGAAAATGCCAGATACAGCTTGAATCTTTGTGTTCCGACCTTTCACATTTCTTACAGTGATAGTCAGATATTTCGAGAGTTTTCTTATATCTCTTATAGTTTTAACTTTATAGTGAATGTTTTTTCAACATCTGGCACAGATCTATGGCGTACTTGCTTATGGCTTTAACCTTTATCATTCTGTGAGCTTAGAAAATGAGTGAATTATGTTAAACATTTTTTTCATACTATACCAGACTTAATTAATATCATAATGTACAAAACCTGTTTAATGTGACTATGTTTTTGTTTCTCAGATTACAGGTTAGTTGATAAAGTTACTTTTCCACTTACCACAAATATTCTGGCTTAAACTTTTTTTCACACATATATATATATCTCTGTCTGTGTGTGACGCTATTTATATACATAAGGTAGAAGTAACATTGCAATTATCAAAAATGTATGCCTTTTACCCATTAAACTGTCAAAGTAAGCTTTTATTTCACAACATAAATATATTGTACTGAGTTCATTGCATGATATTTCACGTAGTGCCAATAAAATATTGAGATATCACAATAACTCAAAATCTGGAGGAGATTGAAAATTCCGATTACATTTTTGAAATCAAAACCATCAGATTACCCTAAATCACTTGAGTTTTCTCCAGTAGCAATATTTTGGTTCTCTCATTCGTGAACGTATTTTAGAGATATATACTAATATATATGATTACCACCAACATAGATGGTTCAGTAGGTTATATTATAAACGAATTTGAATTGGCAAATCAGTCTATCACGCGACAGCCACAGGCTTTATAAAGTCGCAGTGAAACGGAATGTATCTGAATTACATGTTCATATTGTTTGGCATTCATAGGTGGTATGATGCCATCGAACACTGATTGTTTTTAAGAAAGGCTTATAACAGCCTTTCCGACCCAAAATATTCATACACTAAAATCATAAAAACGTTTTTAGATATGGAATTTAGGATTTCCAAGACTGAGATATCCCTTGTAATTAATTGTATTGGAAAACAAAAGAATGTTGATAAATTTGTAGTAGCAGAACGATCCAGAAAGAGACTTGCAACAAGTCGTATTCCAACCGTGGTAAGTAAAGTTCGGCATCTTGAAACAGATGAGAACCCACAAACACAAAGGTCAGTGGTTAAAGCTGTCAACGAGACCTAGGCAACAGTATGCAATCTAACAAAGAAGGATCACCGTCTGAAAAAGCTACACAAGTTGCTTCCACCAAATATTCATTCAACCTTTGCATATCACAAACAACTGGAAAAGAAACAGGTATGTATACTATTCCCAACGAAGGCATACCGGGGAAGTCGCCGTACGCTGCACCTATGTATTTATGTGCGATTGGAGGTTTAAAACATGAACTGGGAGACCATGGTCATACTAAACTAGACAGATACTGAAAAGCACAGGAATGTGCTTGAGACATGACAGCCTTACGATGGAGCCTTTTCCAGTAAAAACTACGCTACGGGGCTAGTGTCAAGATGCAAAGTCGTCAGATAGAATACGACTGGACGTGACAACATGTATTTTAAGGATATAACGAGGCTTCAAAATAGTTTTAATATAACGTACTCAACCTATGTATACTATGGACTAATTCCATTGTTATGGTATGGGTATATCTAAGGGTTTTGAAGTGTATAGCTATTTGAATCGCGTGTTAATTTGATATATATAGTATGTATTGATACCACTAATGTATTATGAACTGATATTTTTGGTGTATTGTTTCAGTGGCACATCAAGGGTTAATTCAACTGTAATAGAATTAAACATCCTTTCTGGTAAACTATAGGTTAGTTTTGATAATACAGTCTGGGTGTGCTATACTGGTGTTGAATGATTATACTCACTTGCCATGTTATGTGTTAATTTCACTGAAGTACAATGGGCTCATTTCATTGTGTACATATGGGTTAACTTCGTTTGTGTAGTGACATTTAGGTTAACTGATAAACCTCTATATACTGTGGACCAATTCAAGCATTGTATTTTAGTTGATTTGAATGGCACAGTAACGAATAACTTCACTTGTAAAATAGTATGTAATTTCGCTAGAATACTGTAAAATATCTTCATTCGTGTAGCAAAATACTGTTTTACTGATTTAGATCGAATAGATCTCACTATAATCGGTTGATTTTATTAGCATACTATTTATTAACTTATCGTTACTGATATACAATAAATTTATTTTAATAATATATTGCGGGTTAATTTCAATGGTATAGTGAATATTGAATTCATTAGTAAACAATGGGATGATCTTACTGGCGTATTGTATTTCATTTAATATTTTACTGCTATATTAAGGGTTCATTTCACGGGTGTTCTATGGCTTGTTTTTACTTGTATAGCTCTTGTTTATTTTACTAGTATGCTATAGGTTGATTTAATTTTAAATTGCACTGTTCTAACCTGAAATGATGCTTTCAACCGGAATGCTAAAGGTACAAAAACACGATTAACTAAATAACAGATTTTATACGGGAAATGAGGTATGAAACTGCTGTAAGAATTTTGTAAAGTGAAAACTATTGAAATACCTCTTGTGTTTCCAAAAAAAAGTTCTACACTGATAACCATTAACTAAACTGTTTTTAATCTACTAATAAAAGCTTTAATAGTAAGTTTCTATAAGTTATACAGACTTAAATAAATCTGTATATTTTCTGATTTCTAGTTATATTGTTTTCTTACCTTTTTTCATCATTAAAACTTTACATTTTATTTTCGCTGCTGGATCATTTTTTAAAGAGTTTTATATTGTTGTCGTTTTTCTCTCTGGTTTTCCAACTCGTCTAACAACCAGAACGACTAATTATCTAGTCCAAAACATTCTCAAGAAAGAGTCAAACTTCCAACAAATAATTTCTGTTCAGCCTAATATACTTCTACATAGTGTAGATGCGATATTAAATAGCGCCAACTGTCAATAGTTTGTTAAATTAAAGGCATAAGACATTAACACCGTAAAAGCAGTTATAATTTCTTTTTTATTTCAGAATTTTCTTCGTGCAAAATAATCGATCATTTATATGCCAGAAAACAAATAAATTACCTTATGTATATTTCTTCCGATCATTACATCTAATCATTTATGGATAACAACATGAGTCACATGCTTCGAGGACGTTTATTGATTTTTTGTTCAAAAAATTTATTGCGTCACAATTGTCCCATGAATAATTTTGTTAATTGAAACAATAGAAGGCTCAGAAACTACTCTGTTTAGTGTTAATAGCACCAGTCATTCTATTTAATTAATTTTTTTTTGTTGTTGATTAAGACCATGTGCTTTGAAGCATCATCAGTTCTGAAATGTGTCATTAATTTGCTATTTCGTTTCTGAACCTACTGTAAGACTAGCTTTTAATTTTTCTTTTTACAAAACTTGAACGTCCTATTATTCCAGTTTGTTTCATTACATAACGAAACATTCAAGTATTCTATGCAGTCTAAATATTTGAAACACAATTATTATTATTATTAATTTCAGCAAATACTGAACAAAAGCATGTATTTTCTTCTTCTTCGCGTAGTAAACGATATTAATAATACGTTGGAAATAATGTTCTTATTCTGACTACATTTATAAGAAATGTTTGTTTGTTTGTTTTTAATTTCGTGCAAAGCTACACGAGGGCTATCTGCGCTAACCGTACCTAATTTAGCAGTGTAAGACTATAGGGAAGGCAACTAGTCATCACCGCCAACCGCCAACTCTTGGGCTACTCTTTTACCAACGAATAGTGGGATTGACCGTCACATTATAACGCCCCCACGGCTGAAAGAGCGAGCATGTTTGGTGTGACGGGGATTCGAACCCGCGACCCATGCCGGGCCGATAATACGGCATTCTTCATGCTTCCTGAGAAACTGTGGAAGTAAATCATATTAGCTTTGACATCTCCGTATTTTGATAAGCATATCCTGAGCACAAGGTGATTTATAAATTTTGATATCTAACTACGTGTTTTGTAAAAGACACTCAGAGTTAAAAAAATATTGCTTAAACATATTGTATTAAAATTACAAAAAGTGTTGTTCATTCTGATCAAAAGCAATATTATCATAACTTGAAATCGTTATATTTAGTAAAAAAAGCTTTTGAAAGTTTGAATATCAGATACTGATGAAAGTTTTTAAATCTCAAGATTATTCCTTAACGTATTTAGGGCTCCTATAATCAACAAACTCATGGGCTTACATACAATTTGGAGCATAAATAACTGAGAAAAATGTGTTTTATAAATACAGAGTAATTGTAATGGTAATTCTATGGTTTAGCTTTCTGATCTTTTATCGCACCAGATGTCTTGATGTACATATATTACAATGTCAAAATGTGTATTTTGTGAGTAAGACAAAGATGTCAAATACTAGCTACATTAGAGATTCTTTTCTGAAACTTTTATACGTAAGAAAAGTAACTCTTTCTTTCGAACAGAAAACCAGAATTTTTGGCACTTCTGAAAATTCGTATATCCTATTCAAATATTTGCGATTTATTT